GCTTGGACACGAATATCCAAAGAATCACTGTTGTTTTTTGCTGTTGGCTTGGTGCTGTTTCAGCATTCAATCACCCATCTACAAGGCCAGCTACTCTGCTTGGCTCCATTAACGTGTGAGTGATCCTACGCTGATTACACATGACAAGCTGTCAGAAATTGGAGCGGGTCATGCGGAAAGCAGGGATCAGACACTCATCTGCCCGGCCACGCCCACACCAACCGTACACACGGCAACTGTGAGGACAGCAAATACAGAAAATTCCTTCTGTTTTCTTTACTTGCACTCAGTTTGCTTTCTTCCAACACAATGTTATCTTTCCAATGACTTTCCAACACCGCTTCCCTCCATTAATGGTAACCATTCCCAAATGGAATTTAGGAGTACAATGTAAATTTATAATTCAGTTTTAAAAGTGTGTTGTCATTTGTAACGCTAACAATATTTTAGTAAGTTTAGCTCACTGGGAGTAACCACGTTCCTTATTTAATACAGTAATCAGTCATGGCTGAAAGTTTTGGCAGTAATGCAAATTTTGATGAGCACCAACTTTCCCACTTCACTATTTTTCAAGAATATTTCAATAACTATTGTTTTAGTTTGTGAAAAACAAAAATAAGTCTTTTCTAAGTTGGATAATGTTTACAAGTCAATAAAAGCATTTACAATGATGACCGTGCACAGGCATACAAATTCTTCTGAGGAAAATGCTGACTTTTTGATATTCAGAAGCATAATTCTAATGGCATAGTACAACAAAATATAGAATAAATGTTAATCATAAACTTTGAGATTAAGGCGGCAAAATTAGCTAAACAAAATTTGAGACACTACCAAAACTCTTGGCCAGGACTGTACATATTGCTTCAGTGCTTTAGGTCAGAACAGTGACATTCTGATGCTCTCAGTGTATTACTGCTTTTGTTGCACATACACGTACAGTTACACAGAGATGCGCTGTCAGGGATTTAGGGCTACATGAAAAAAAATCAAATCAAATTCAGTACCGCAAAATGGAAATCCAGTAGAATGCAGCATGTCCGCAGTTCAGCACCCACAGATTCGAATATTCACAAACTTCTTTTCTCTCAATATTTTTTCCAAACTTTTTCATTCCCCTAGCCCCATGTTTTTCATGGAAGACGCAATGAATATCAGTATTTTTTTTTTCTTTTTAAGAATTTGAGAGTGATTAACACCCCCCAACCCCCATTGCATTTCAATGAATGTCAATTATATGCAGATTTTTGCTATTCGCAGGCGAGGCATGAATAGCGGCAGCCAACTCTTATTTTCTCAGGCGGCCCTAACCACCACTTCTGGCACCCCTGGCCTACATATACAGTGACTTGCAAAAATATTCAGCCCCCTTGAGCTTTATGGACTTTTGCCACATTTCAGGTATCAAACAAAGATATAAAATTGGATTTGTTTTTTTGTGAAGAATCAACACCAAGTGGGACGCAATTGTGAAATGGAACGAAATGCATACAAGATTTTAAGTGGGGCGTGCATAATTATTCCACCCCTATAATGTCCATCCACCCATCCATTTTCTAATCCGTTTATCCTGACGAAGGTCGCAGGTACGCTGAAGCCCATCCCAGCTTTCTTCGGGCAGTAAGTGGGGTACACCCTGGACTGGTTGCCAGCCAATCGCCCTTTAATGTCAGTGTAGCAAACTCACTCCAGAAGTTCCCTGATAATTTCGAAATGATCCCAAATTGTCCTAAATGATTAATGCTGATAAATATGGTCCACTTGCATGTAATCCAGTCCTACTATAAGTCCACTTGCTCTGTGATGGTCTCAGAGGTCTGTTAAATGAATATCAGTGAGCAAACAGCATCAAAAAGCCCCAGAAACACACCGGGCAGGTCCGGGTACAAGTTGTGGGGAAGTTGAAAGCAGGAATAGGATATGAAAACATTTCACACGCTTTAAACATCTCGCGGAACACTGTTCCATAAATCATATTGAAATGGAGAGAGCATGAGACAACTGCAAACCTACCAAGACCTGGCCCTCCCTCTAAACTCTCAGCCCAAACAAGGAGAGCACTGATGAGAGATCACTGTGGACACACTGCAGAGATCCACAGCTAAGGTGGGGTAATCTGTCTCGAGGACACTTAGTAGTCGCACACCGCACAAATCTGGCCTTTATGGAAGCGTGGCAAGATGAAAACCATTTCTCAAAGACAATAATAAATAGTCCCACTTGAAGTTTGCAAAGCCACCTGGTAGAGACAACTAACGTGGAAGAAGGTGCTCTTGTCAAATGAGACCAAAATTTCACTTTCTGGGCAAAATGTGTTATGTTGGGCATAAAGGTCACACTGTATGTACATCACCCTGAAAATACCACCCCCACGGTCAAACATGCAGGCGGCAGCATCATAGCCTGCGGCTGCTTTTCTTTAGCAGGGACAGGGAAGATGGAGTTGATGGAAGACAGATGGAGCCAAAACCGGGCCATTTTGGAAGAAAACCTGTTGGGCTCCGCATAAAACCTGAGTCTGGGACTGAGGTTTACCTTCCACCAAAACAATGACCCCAAACATAAAGAAAAATCTACAATTAAATGATACAAAAAACACATTTCCAGGTGTTAGAATGGCCATGTCAAATTCCAGACCTGAATTTAATTGAGAATCTGTGACAAGTTATGAAAACTGCTGCTCACAAACGCTCTCCGGCTAATCTACCTGAGTTAGAGCTGTTTTGTAAGGGAAGAATGGGCAAACATTTCAGTCTCCAAATGTGCACAACTGAAACCTCAAAAGACTTTCAGCTATAGTCGCATAAAAAGGTGGTTCTCCAAAGTATTAACACCCTGATGCCCTGACACCATTCTGAAAGTGTGTGTGTGTGTGTGTGTGTGTGTGTGTGTGTGTGTGTGTGTGTGTGTGTGTGTGTGTGTGTGTGTGAGTGATTGCATGTGCGTGTGTGTGTTTATAGAGGCAAAGCATGCTTCCCTCCCATTAATTTACGAATGCAACCTAGGTTATGAAGCAATCAACAGTTCGTGATGGGGTTACTCTGAAAAACCAAACCACACATTTGAACAATGCTCTGAGTTTCCAAACAACGGGAAATAGTGCACGCTCTGAGCGTACAGTATATCTGAACGCACCCATAATTAGGGAATAGGGATTTTATAGGCTGTACTGTTTTTTGGTATCAGCTTCTGTAAGATAAATTTTCACCAAAAATGTGACTTTCACTCCAGATCAACTAATATATCTTTTTCATCTTCATGTTGTATTTTTGGACTGGTGTGACTTATACTGCGGAGCGATTTAAAGTCTGAAAAATATCGTTTGTCAAAAGCTTTTCCAAAGTCACAAATGTTGAAAAAACAAACACACACACAAATAAACAGCAGTAACCGTGTTTCCATATTTGATTTTTTTAAACCTTTATTAATTATAGGATTTTAACCCACAAGGGATAATTCAATATTGTAAATCACTATAAATAAAACCAAAACAAAATAATAAATAAATATGAAGCTGGAACCACTTACTTTGAAATGTGTTTCATGTTCACGGGCACTCGGTGTTATGTACATCAGGTCTCAACTGAGCATGCAAACAGGTGGCTTCACATCCTGAACAGTTGTGATTCTGTCGAGTGACTTGCATGTGTGTTGTCTGTGTGTGAAGTGTAATGTGCATGTCAATTGTTGACTTTTGACATCACCTAATACTGCAGAAATACAACTACAGTCAAGAGTGTGCCATCTTCACTATATACTGAGTGTAGAAACAAATACAATTGCACGATATTTGCATGTTTTCTCTCACCTTCCGCTGTTGTGAGCTCAGCGTGACGTCTACTGGCAGGCAACTGCCCCAGGTAGGTGAGCACAATATACTTGGTTTCATAATGGAAATCCTTAGGCACGGTGGTAGCAATTGGGGGAGACAGAGGAGCGACGGAGCCTGAGGTAGCCATGGATCAGAGGTGTGTCACACTTCCAGGCACATATGTTCTTACAGTAGAGCAGGACACCCCACCTGTAGATCAGAAGAGGCAGAGTTGTGGAGTTAGAACTAGTAGCTGTCGTGAGTAGAAGCACCCATTCACATAAAATGTCATGCAAATCAGTATAAAAATGATGCATTTGGCCATAAAACAACCGGTAAGAGTAAATGTATGACACTATGTCTTATAAAAGGCATAGGTAATATATTATAGCACTTATAGTTCCACATTCACCTCCACATGTGGCAAAGACCACTGTGTGGATTTATACAAACTAACATTATTGGAAATGCATAAATTGTAATTATATTCGAAATGTCATGTAATGAAATGTAATCAAATGAAACTACATTGAAATCACCGACGGGTGATATGAATATTTTAAATGTTACCCCGAATGGCAAATTGCACAGATCTTTATAACAGTGGAGAATGTCAATTTTTAGTTCGACGAGTGGGAAAAAAACACACACAAATGCAACAGCCACAAACAACGTAGCGTAATGTTAAATATTTTCGGTTGCTATTTCAGCACCGTCAAGCATGACTTTGACTAAAATGAAGCCCGATGAAGGACACACCTACCGTCCTTGAATAAAGGCAGTCAGGTGCTGACAAACCGGAGGCCGAAGGGGAACTATGCAACACTCGTGCAGCTTAAGCCTTAGCACGAAAGGGAGCAGCCCAGCCTGTCACATAGGCAGCTGAGCAGTGTGCGTTCGGATCGAACACAAGCCAACGAAAGTGGAGAACAAGTATTTCTCTTTCGGCCGTCAGTCTAAAATCAAATTGCCATTTATTTCGGACTATCTGAAGGTTCAAATAGGAAATCGTGTATTTTTTCATCTTTTACAATTATTTGTTTATTCTAATTGGAAAATCAGTGCGATAACATCGATCACGCCTTACTCTTTCCCGTTTTTGGAAGGGACACGCCACTCAATTGTTTGACTTTGAAAGCTCAAACCGGAAATTGTTCTGTCTTTTTTTAATTCACTTGACGTGAAGGGAGCGGAAGCACCAAATTGTACTGTACGGCAAACAGGTTCTCGGTTTATATTTTTTGTTTTGTTTTGATTTGTTTTTTTTTAACCGCGTTTGGGTAATTATTCATTTTAGTAACAACAAACATGGCCCTCACCGATGCGGATGTCCAAAAACAGGTAACGATTATTATCAGACATCAACTGAGCAGAAGGTAAAAGTTGGATGAAGGGTAAAAAACAGTGAACGGCCGTTAGAGCTGCCGATATGGTTGTATCCAGCCAAATTACGTTTCTCGTTTTGAATTTACCTTAACAAAATATACAAATACACTTTTAAAAGTTAGACTAGGTCAGACTATGAATTTGACGGCTGTTTGGTTATCGGTTGTGACAGATAAAGCACATGATGGCCTTCATTGAGCAAGAGGCCAATGAAAAGGTTGAGGAAATTGACGCCAGAGTAAGTCCCCCAACCCAACACACACACACACACACACACACACACACACACACTCTAATTTATATGTTTATTTTTTTGCCAAAATGTCCTTTAAACATAATTTTGATGCTGAACTTATTGCAGGCGGAGGAAGAGTTCAATATCGAGAAAGGTCGCTTGGTCCAAACGCAGAGGGTGAAAATTATGGAATACTATGAGAAGAAGGAAAAGCAGATTGAACAGCATAAGAAAATGTGAGTGCCTGTGTTTGTGTGTGGGGGGTTGCCAATCGATCTCAAAGCACATATAGAGACAGACTACCATTTACACTGACATTCACACAGTCACTCAGTGGAATTGAAACCAAGCTTCTGTACTGAAGTCAAGCTAGTGAATCATTACACCATCATTGACCTCCTTTTAAAATACTATGACTAAATTGATATTCATAAGGTTTCCCACATCTTATTTATTGTATTAACAGACATACCGCACAACCGCTGTATGTGAGCGCTGTTTTCATCGGTGTGTTTGTTTGCCTATAACTTCCTATCTACAGTGTTTGATGTATCAACTTGGAGTTTTAATGTTAAGTAAGTATTCTTCCAAATCTCTTAGATTTACATCAGGTGATGATGATGATTAAAAAAAAAAAGTCCTTAATGCAGGAGTGCCAAACTACCCAGTAACCTTTTTTGACATATGGTCTACTTTTCAAGCAGCCAAATTTCCATGACTGACTAATTGATTGTCAACATTGCAAACACACACCTTTTCCAGGCTGCATTCACAAACCCACAATACCTTTTCTTGTCCTACAATGACTAGACATCACACCCCTCCCTCTGCTCCTCTCTCACACGCACGTCCACACATACCATGATGAGCCATAGCCATATGAAACAGAAACAGAACAATAACCCAGATACAAGAAAGCTAGATCTCTGAATTTGAAAAAGGAAATCCCTGCCTACTTTAGTAGAATACCTGACACTGGGAGGCAGAAGCAGGGAAGCACTTCTGTAGCGCATAAAGTGCAGGAACATTTAGCCGGTGTGTACCATTTTAAAATGCCACACCAGATTCCCTTCAAGTGCTCACATGACTATTTGCAAGTGATTGCTAACAACTTGCTGTGATGCAGGTCTCGTGCAAACATAGGTTAAGAGGTTACCTCCTTTTTTCTGTATTTTTTTCCTATATACGTTTTTGAGACTGATACAGTACGTAGGCAGTAGTGTGCAATAACACAATATATATATTAAATAATATACACATACACACACAAAACGCAACTCACCCCCCACCACAAGACATGCGCACACACACAGCCCTCGCGGTTGACTTTGGAGCAGTATACGGTCTACCAGTCAACTCGATCGATTGGGTGGGCACTCCTGCCTTAATACAGCTCTGTCTAATCTGATATGATTTGAATTAAATTTGGTAAATGTATAACAGATCCAAAGGCTCTAATGCCAAATCAAGATTCATGTGGATCTAAACTCGACTGCAGATTTCACAACTATTTAAATTTCTAATCGGTGTAGCTTCTGAATTGCTACCATAGGATCTTTTACTGCAGAAATTTTGAATCTCGATAAATCTTGACTTCCTCTTGCCATTTAAGATTAGAGAAGTTCACTCACTCATTGATTTCTCTGGTGATGAATGGTGAAGGTCTGGTGGTCTTCGAGTGCTCTTGTTTAATCAATGACATTTCTTCCCACGGCCCACAGCCAGATGTCCAACCTGATGAACCAAGCAAGACTGAAAGTGCTGAAGGCTCGTGATGACATGATCATGGTAAGTGGTCATGCTGTTTCTCCAATATATTCCAATATCATCAAAATATTTAAATATCTCTTCGCCTTGCACAGAAAATGAATTTGTGAATCATTTCTTCCGCAGAATAGCATAGCACTCTATTTCATTTGAACTTTTTCTGCCCCCCCCCCACACATCACAGGATATGTTGGTCGAAGCGCGACAAAGACTTGCAGCGATTGCGCAAGATCCTGCCAGGTACTCCACATTGCTGGAGGGGCTTGTGCTTCAGGTAAAAATTGTGGTGGAGAGAAAAAAAAATCCCAACTGATTCATCTCGTGTTTGTTGAGACAACTCTCTTTAGCAGTTCGTTATTTTGGTCCCGGGCTCTCGTTGACGTGTTTCTCCTGACCGTGTCTTGTTCAGAATATATACACGCATGTGTTATTGTGATGATGCCTACACAGGAAAAGAGTGCAAGGCTACCACAGCACACAGACGTGCAGGCAGATTGAATTGCATAACATAATGTCGATTCAGTTGACAATAACTATAGCCTACTGATACAGGCATGGAAACATGCTGAATTGTACTGATAATATGAACTGAACCAGTGACGGTATCATAGGGCATCGAGACATCCGGAATACAAAGAAGAGTTGGATTTGAAGAAATTAGGCTAAGTGTTATCTTATCTGCTCATTACATTGCAGTAGCAAACTTCTCATCGTTTCCATTTTGGTGACCTACCTTAGAGACAAGTTAGATAAACACTCAACACAACCGGTTGCTACTCCATTTGTGTCAGGTCACTTCCTTGTTGGCTAACATTCTAATTCACGTCCCATCATATTGAACAGGTTGAACTTTTACGAGTATTTCACCAGACATTCAAGATTTGGGCTTCATCTGGCTTTCCTCGTGACGGTGGGGAAAAAGATCAAATTCAATCAGATTATCAGTTCATGCAATTTGGTAATGACTGGATCATAACAGTCCAGCTGCATTGAATTCAATGCCCTGAGAAAGAAATGACCGGGATGAATGAGAATATCCACATTCACATTTCGGTAGTAGTACTTGTCTGATCTACTTTTTTCTTCTCAAACAGCAAGGTAAATACATCGCACAGACAGCAATAATGATTTGTTATTTATGAAAACTTCAATGCTGAAATCAAATTGTTACTATCTGCTGTACTTCACAATGCACCTTTAGAATGTCCGGACACTTTGTTCTTAGGCAGACTTTGTGGAGGATGATCATTTTGTGACCCATAGGCCGAAGTGACAGTTGCAATAGCAAACTAGGTGACCTTTGCACCACTGTGCACTTTTTGAGTTTGTGCTTGTCATGTGTAGGGTTTCTACCAACTGCTGGAAGAGAAAGTTATCATTTGCTGTCGACAGCAAGATGTGGAGATGGTTCAGGTGAGGTTGAGCTGCGAATGGTGGGATGAACTAATTCACAAATGTTGCCTTGTGGCGAATTTTAGTAAACGATTCATTTCTTTGCGTTTTGTTCATAGACTGCAGTGAATAAGAACATCCCCATCTTCAAAGAGGCTGTGAAAAAAAACATTGTTGTCAAAATTGACACGAACCATTTTCTGCCGTCAAGCATGTAAGAAAATTCCGTTTACATACGTTTATCCTGTTACATTTCGTACTTTGTAATTTTCAAATAGGGGATGCTTTTTATTTTCATTCATCATTCTCATTTTTGGGGACATATGAATGATTGTTTTCATAGCTGCGGAGGAGTGGAGATGTATAATGAAAATGGCAAGATTAAAGTATCCAACACTTTGGAGAACAGACTTGAACTTCTAGCACAACAGGTAAATAATGTATGTTGACAAGCATCTCTTAAAAAAGCTAAAACAAATAGTACGTTATTCCAATACCGTACTCAAAACAAATGAAATGTCACCAGTAGTGATTCCAATGTTTGGCCTCGAGAGGGCACTACACTCCACACAATTTCAGAGGAGTGGCGTGCAGCCTCAAGGCAAGGAGCGGCAGCTTTATGTTGTGATTGAAAAACAATCAGTGTGCTTTACCCGATTTGAACTACATTTAAAATGAAAGAACTAAATATAAAGAAAGTACCTAAACAAAAGAAAACTTACTAAAGTTACTGAAGGAACAAAGTGATTTTTTTTTTTTATCTAAAAGCATTCATACTTGGGCTGTTTTAGTGATTGATTTGATATGACTGCTTAAAGTCTGATCGAAATCTGTCAGTACCAGGCTCACAGTTGTTGTCAATTGCATAGACACAAAACTCTACATAGTACTTGGTTTGTATGTTTCAAATTTAATCCATAATTACACTTCACTTGAGTGCAAATCCTGCACAAACACTTTATGAATACACATTGGTTATCAGTATACATTAATTTGATGTGTGGATATAGTAAAATATGCCAGTCAATGTTTTCAAGAATAACAATACATTCTATTTTGGGAATTTTTCCTGTCAGTCAAGGTCAGGGTTTGAAAAATGATCAAAAGAAAAATATAAAATCAATACAAAATGAGGAATAAAATACAGCAAGGTAGTGTAGAACACATGAACCAAAATAATCTAGAAAACACTGCATTGTACTTTTGACAGACAATGACGTTAAAAAAAAAAACTTGATGGGTTTATGATGAGATAATTTGATTACCGTACGTTGCTCTATAGTGTATATAATTGTTCAAATGCATCTTGGACATCTTGGTGATGTGTGACTTGTTTTCTGGTTTTCCTCTAAACAGATGATGCCTGAAATCAGAGTGTCCTTATTTGGCGCCAACCCCAACCGCAAATTCACAGATTAACGGTGGATTTTAAGGGTGCAGCATGTACAAAGGTGGAATAGGTTTCGTCTATGCTGTGTTGCATAATACTATTGATGACAAGTATACCCACTCAAGTGCCTTACTTTTAACTGATGTATCCCATGGACTATTTTCAGCCATATATGCCAAATGCGTTGTTGTTTTTTCCAAGAGAAATTAACAGTGTTACTATGTATATACAATCAAACAAAGAACATGTTTGTAATTATGAGGGCACGCTTAACATTCAAGAGCCAAAGTAATAAATGAGTACAACAAAGTAGTCTGTGTGCATTTTCATTCACCAGTTGTAAACAAACTGCTTACACGGGCTGTTTAACCTACTTTGTGAAAACTCTTACCTAGTTATATAAATTATAGCATTGCATTTAAAATGCATGTTTCAAAAAATATGTATATTTTAGTGTGTATTTGTTTTTTATGAAATAGGACCAAAATCCTCAACAGCACAAATCACAGAAAATCCAAGACATTTTGTGTGTTTTTTAAACTAACAACGATAAGGCTTTTATTTAGTTTTCCATATACTTTTATGATTTGTTAGGCAGAAGTAGCTTTTGGTCCCATTATTCTGGATTTATTTTAAACCTTCTGAAGCTGTGAAGAAGGTTTAAATACAAAGTACAGTGGCGGGCGTGTGTAGCTTTTAGGCCGGAAGTGAGCTGTGTGTATATATTTTACACTAATACAGGGATTAAATCATTACCATCAGATTAACAAACGACCTACTGACAGGCAGCGCTTCCCATTCCAGGTAGGGAATCCAAGATTACAACTCAGACCTCATGGATAGAGTGCAAAGAATGCATAACAGGGCAGGTAAAGAACATTCTATTTTTTAACCTGTATGATTATGCAATGAAATCATTTTAGAAGATTTACAACCAAACATAGGGCTTGCAGCCTGAACAATATACAGCATTTTTTTCTGAGTAACCAAACAAGAGAATCTCTTTTGGGTTAAGGAATAACTCTAGATGTAAACTCAAAACACCTTGGGACACAGTACACAGGACCATCCTTGACCAAATAAACCCCGAAGCTTGTATGTTGCAATCTCAGATAACATGAGTGTGAGCGTGAGCTGCTGGGTCCACACGCAGTTTGACGCAAAATGAAATGACATGCGCAGATACAACACGATCCCTGCCGATTGATTTTATTCCATCAATGCTAGCACTGCCTCCCCAACACCAAGAAAGTAGACACCTTGCGCGATGCCAAAAAGGGGGGCAATGACCAGCGCACGGCACGCTGCACCCTTCAGGAATGCTGATGGTCCCTCTCGCCTCAATATGCGCCTACAGAAATACAAACAATAAATAATGGCTGGCGAGAGATTACAGAGTCAATATCTGATTAGGAAATAGTTACCGTGTGCAGTCAATAATTCCTCGGTAGGTATCCTCCCCTTCACCTTTTTGGAGTGTTTGCAGTCGAGTTTTTATCACTGTACGGGTGACAAAATCAAAGACGATGTATTACTACGGTAATCCAACTACCACTGTAGTACTGAACCCAGAATGCACTTTAACCTTTACCAGTGGACTTCATATGACCTTCTCCAATTTTTTGGATGTTCATATCGTTTTTTTGTTTTTTTTTCCCCAAACAAAGAGCTAGCTCGAATGACAAAATTCACAACTGTTCGATCCATCCATTTTCTAATCCGCTTCTCCCCACAAGGGTCGCGGGTGTGCTGGAGCCTATCCCAGCTGTCTTTGGGCAGTAGGCATGGTACAGCTTGAACTGGTTGCCAGCCAATCGCAGGGCACACAGAGACCAACAACCATGCACGCTCACACTCGCACCTATGGACAATTTAGAGTGTTCCATTAACATGCCACGCATGTTTTTGGGAATGGAGGAAACTGGAGTACCCAGAGAAAACCCACGCAGGTACGGGAAGAACATGCAAACTCCACACAGGAAGGCTGGAGCCGGAATCGAACTCTGCACCTCTGCGCTGTGTTAACGCCCACAGTGTCGCCTTGTTTGATCCATGAAACAACCAATATATTGCCAAATAAATCCACTTCTCCCTCTATCTTTGTTGCAACCAGTGAGACTAAACTCAGTGATCTCTTCCCTCTGTGAACGTCCTGTTTGAAGTCCTCCATGTGGTGTAGAACTAATGAGGCGTCATCTTCATTTCATGTCAAAATGTGAACAGCATGATGAAGAGTCATCATGCATCATGAAGAATACCAATTCTAATTGAAACAGAAAATAGTTTGGTCAATTCATGGTTTCGGCACTAGTGAATTTTGCTGATTAGCTTATTGAACAGTTGGAAGTGCATTCAAAGCTCATATTAAGTTCACATGTAAAGGTTACAGTCCCTTTCAGTTTTTTCTTGAAATACTACCTCGAAGTCCAATGTGATCCCTGACTTTTTGTGATTAGTGAATTTAAAGTTAAAAGCAGCTCAAGTTCACAAAAAACACAATGACAATAATGTACTATGTAGACAACAATTGTTACAGTATTTGCTTCTGAAACTACAATGTTAGTATGAAAGTACAGTACATGTCCTGGGAAGGCAATCATTAAATACAATGGATATAAGAAGTCGACCCCCCCTGTTCAACTGTCAGGTGTTGTCATCTGTGAAGCATGGTGAAGATCATGTTAATGGCTTGGGCTTGAATGACTACTTCTGGAACGTGCTATCTAGTCTTTATTGTTCATGTAACGACTGATGGTCCTGATAATTTTGTCTAGCAATTTCCAGATGAATTTCCAGAAAATGCATCCAAACTAATCGTGCGACACTTCAGCTTACAACAAGACAAAGACCCAAAACACAGTGCCAACGCAAAAAAAGGACGTCGTCAGGGGGGGAAAAGTGGGAGGTCTTAGATTGGCCAAGTCAGTCACCGGACTTCAACCCAATAAAGTATGCGTTTCACCTCCTGCAGAGGAGACTGAAGTGGGAACCCCCCAGAAACAAACAAGAACTGAAAGGGACTCCAGTTAAGGCCTGGAAAAGCATTTCAAATGAAGAATGCAACAGTCTGGTGAAGTCAATGGTTCGCAGGTTTTAAGTGGTTATTGCAAGTGAGCGCTATGCCACCAAATATTAAATGTTAGTTACTTTAAGTTAATTTAATACTCATTTTGAAAGTGGGTGGCTTCAAACAAGAGGCACTGTCCCGAGTTGTTTAACACATCTAGATATAAATAAATTCCCTCAGTATACATAATAATCAGACATACATAAATATTCACACTGTAAGAATAACTGAAATAAACGATGTCTCTCAATGTGTGATTCAATACTAATATTTTTGTTGTCCTTATAAAGACAAACATTTTCATTAGGTTGTGTAGCTGAACCAAATAAAGCGTCTGGTGAGTGTATATAAAAATGTCAATCGGGACTGGAATTTAAGTATAAATACAATATCTCGCTGGAATGTCAAATCCAGATGTGCTGATGTCATATAATATCGACTACAATCGACAGTTTTTAGTTGAGACACAAACCCACTGTCACAGCTCAGCATTTACGATCTCTTTCTCGGATCCCCACTCACCATCCAGCGGTGTGACAGCCACAGCTGCCACTGAGCCTGCAGCGCATCCTGCAACAAAGGACTGCCAGAAAGGAGCTTTTGCCTGGACATCACCTGGACTTCCATGTTTTTCCCTCCCCAGTGCGTTCAAGTTGGCAAACAAGGGGAAGTAAATCATTGAGAAAGGGACATCCCTGAAAAATATATTTGGAAAGTGTGTCATTGACAAAGGAATGAGAAGAATGGTGTGACAAAAGTGGAAAAAAAGTTGTGGTCTTTCCCATTGTTACATCCGTGCAGCCAGACATAGCTGGAGGAATCTATTGATCAATGTTGATTAGAGGGGTCAGGAAATGCTGTTCAACAAAGTCCTGTAGTCCAGTTATGTAATCGAGAATGAACCAATCAACGAAGTAATGAGGGTGTTGAATGGGAGCAGAAATGATTCACGCATTCTTTCGATCCCTTAGAGGAGTTGGGTAAAAGCTCCTTCGCCTTTCCAAAATGAACTAGAATGGCACTCATAGCTTCTGCATCCTCTGCCAAGGACATCTCAGATGTATTTGACCGAAAGCTCATAAAATAGTGGATGATATTAAGTACAGTCAAATAGGATGAGGTAATGTGTCTTTTAGAGTGCCACACACACCAGGCTTCTTCTTTTCACTGCGCCCTCCTCAAACACACACACACACACACACACACACACACACACACACACACACACACACACACACACAGTTGGCCCCAATGCAAGTGGACTGTTAACAGTAAATCCCCTGATGTGCACCCGTTTCCAGAGCTACACTAAGTTTCAATGATGTCTGCCTAGGCCAAAACACCACACTTAGACTAAATAAACTTTAGTGGGAATTGATTATGTGTCTTTTATTTATACTAACTGTGATCAAAAATAATGTCAGTAAACAACTGATTAACTATCCAACTGACATGGGAGTTTTTTTATGGTGAGAAGGGCATAATTTCAAGTTGATCGTGGTGCTGTAGTGAACAGTGTGTGCATGCATGCACGTATAACCTCATTAAGGTGGCTCCTGCTCCCCTGTATAAACCAGCAAGGCCTCGGGTTCTCAGCAGCTCCACTGTGATGCTAGTAGCAGATGTCCGTAGGGCAGGATTAGGCCGGGGCAGCTGTGGTGCCATTAATGATGGAGCAGGACCCGAAGCAGCAGCCTGAGCTGGTGTCGAGACTTTTCTCTGCGCAGCTGAGAAGAAATCATACTTGTGTGAGCCTACATCCTTATCATAGTAAGACATTTTGTTTGTGAAAAACTATTATTGACCCTCATTGGCTGTATTAATTAGCAGTGAACATAAAATAATTACAATAAATCTCACCCAGCCTCCCTGCATCTTGTAGTTGTATTTTGAGCATTTCCATGGGAGTGGTGACCACCACCTGACATGTCCCAGCCCCACAACCTGCCAGAACTTCCCCCCATAGGGGCAAGTGGCTGATGACAAAAGACAAAAAGCATTAACAAAACATAAGACATCCTTCTGTTTGAGGTGTTTCTTGTTATTTTTGAGTCACCAAAAATTCTGTGTTTATTTTACTCCCACCAGGAATTCCATTTTTGTCGAGCGCACACCTGCCCTTGTGGTGCAATGGCCCAAGTATCCTGATTTTTGGTTCATAGCTTGTTTGCTAATTTGGCTGACCGGTTTCCACCAACCAAGGCATTCCGGTGCAGCGAGGGCTTGTCCTTTATGATGCGCCTGATTGAGTGACAATTCAGTATGGTGGCAGAAAATTGGTCTAAATTTAGGCCTGCTGACAGCATGTGTGAGGTTTTGGTGAATTTAATTGGGCCACAGGCAGACAGATTCTGAACTTCGCGGACATGTGATGGATGTCAGAAGTACTTAATTCATTATATGTGAACATCAGGTATCAAATTGTCTGAATCATTGTATGGTATTTTTTAAATCAGGCCACAGGGCTGGGCGGTGGTCATGGAGCGGTTTCCAAATGCCCACTTGACAAGGTATATGTGCTTGCACTATGCCAAGTCTCTTCTGGGCAACTTATGCGCCACGTTTTAAAGGAATAAAAGGAGGCCCTTTGACTGGCCATAATTGATCAGCTGTGACCACTTCCACAGCAGCGCAGACCTCCCCCTCGCACATCCGCTGGCATACGGGTGTCTGCGAAATTAGCAAAATTCTGTCTAATTTTTCAATCACATCTTGATTATTTTAATTTCAGTCAATTACAAAATCATGACAACATTCTCCAAATATATCCACCCCTCAAGGAATCTTGTACAGTTAACAATCGTAACATTCAAATGGATATTCTAAAAATGTACCCGTTTCTGGAGAGCTTTTGTCTGAAGGCATCATTAGCTGCCAGTTTAATTGCTTTTTCTGGTGTGACAAGAGTGAGGTTGACTGCTGCACCTAGTGGAGGCAAACAAGCTAATGAATGACAAATATTTCCCTCTCAGCCACAAAAATAGAATATCAAACACATCATTTTATGGTTACTACTACATTCTACTACCACGCATTACAATGTCACAATAAACAACAAGGTATAGAAAGTCACAGCTGTATATTTGTTTGTCACAGTGATTGGAAATGCAAATAATACCTCTGTAGCATCCAAAATAACCATCGGAGCGTATTGTCTTAGCCAGACAGTCCCACCTGATTTGACAAAAGAGAAATAACATTGCCTTAGTTTGATTGTAAAGTGCACTGCAGTGGCCCCTAAGTCATACAATTTGGAGACGTACCTACATTTAAATATGCCTCAAAAGTGAAACAATAACATCCGCATGCAGGGAGTCATATCTGACTCAGGCAAATGCTGACCGGCTTCATTTACTGAGAATTTATGATTAAGGATCTTTTTTTTTTTTTTTTGCGAGCTCTTTGATATGTTTTTTTGTGGTCGTATAAATAATGACACGGAGAGGAAAAATGTAATGCTAACCACAGAACAGGAATTGGATCTTGTGACTTCGGAAAGGGTCTGGCTGACATATAATTAATTCAATGCACACACACACACACACACACACACACACACACACACACACACACACACACACACACACACACAAAAATGTATCTAGCAGATGCTAATGCTGCTAACGTGGCAAAAAGCTGAACGCCTAAAGATTTAACATGAAAATGATAAGTAAAACTTGTCAAGAGCAAGACCTTAAAATCAGTGGTATCTCATCTTAGAGAGCACTAAAATGTAAATGAAACATTATAATAAAAAATAGTTTGAAATACTGTAGATCTTTTTAGGACCTGAAAAAGTACATACATCTTTTTATTCAATTTAATGAATAATCAGCACTAATGAAAGACTCCCGATTGGTCAGTTAAAACTAAGCTCCACTGTATAGCTATTAGATGAAAAGGATAAATAGTATACAGTTGTTGATGAGTAAAATTGATTGGTTTATCACTGCCATTTCAAATAAAGATGTAACTTCCAGTCTGGGCACGGAGAACAACAATGAAAGACTCTTTTTGAAAGTTTTATATGCACCGCCAGACTTCGTGCAATAACCATATTGAGCACATTTGGGTGCTAAATTCCGCCAACTGCAATAAAAGTAAAATTCAAATGGCGTTGTAGTGGTCAATGCCGAAGAACCAATCAAAGGATGACGCCGGACATGTCACACTATGCGGCAAGACAAACAAAAATCCTGACATTTCAGACTTTCGTTTTCGTGGTCGTGAGGCGTCCCAGACGCCTCACAACCAATCGCTGAGTATATCACACTATACAGGCTACGACACTTCAAGACAACTCAAAATCGGCTATGAGACAGTGCGTTTATCTGTGACACGTCTCTCGGCTCAAAATCAGGCTAAATTTGTGTAGTCTGACCATTGTGGTAGTATGGTGCAGTGGTTACTGTCAATGGCTTTTAAAGTCATCTTGTGAACCTTACATGACAAAACCCAGAAAACAGGTGAGCCGTAATTGGTCACTACCTGAACCCTTGGACACTGTGATGTCACTTTCAGCCGACAGCAAGGGGCAAAATGGCCACACCCTGAGATGGATAAAAACGGGTGGATTTTGCTGCTTAATTCATATTCCACAAATGCAGTATTAGTCCAAATACTGCTTTTAGACTAGAAGGGGCGCATAGAACCTATTATTGTAAAGACATTTCTGAGTTGTTGTTTTGTTTTTTTTTTTTGTTTTTTTTTAACTTGACCTCCACTTTAAAATGAACACGCAATTATCTATTGTGGTGTGTGGACAATTGAACCGGTTTAACTGTCATTGGTTAATGTTGAGTTGAGAGCACACAATCCAACTTTTATTATTGGGCCTTGAAAGGAATAAGTTATTCTGGTAGTTTTCCACTTCTGAGTCACAGTGGAAAACTGCGGTCTGGGTCTTGTGCTGCCGAGCACAGGATGGCCACACCCATCACAAGGCAGTGCTGCTGCCCACCCCGCAGAGAATTCAGGCCCTTATAAGAACATCAGTGCATATTTTTTCACATAATACATTTTTGTTTTTGGTCATATTCCATCACTAAAATAAATGTTTATCATAAGTGGCTTCAGTTACATCAAACCAAAACATGCAAAACAAGTTATGGAATTTCATGATCATCGTGATTTCCCATTGAGCTTTCTCAAGCACTGAAAAAAACATGGGCCGTGACTTTATAGTTTTGCAAGTCCCGCTTTTATGAGATCCTTGTGATTCATGTGACAATGCGATCGTTGCTTAGATGAGTTGCTAACTTAATACAGTGATACAATGCTTTTATGCACTTAGGATGCCGATGCAAGGAAAACATGGAAGTTCATATTTTTGTTTTTCTGGTTTTGCTCTGAGGCCATACTCACATTCCTTTGTAGACCTGGGCACCCTGCTGGTTCTGTAGGCGGGTTTTGGCCAGATCGATAGGAAATACACATGTCACACCAACCAGGCCTGCCACGCCCCCATTAATCAGCTTAGCAGGGAGACTGCAAAGGGATCAACATATAGGCACATGAAACACATGCATCCACACAGACATTTACACGCAGCTGTCAACACAAGCCACGCACATGGCTGAATAACTTTTAAGACTGTCGTAGAACTGCAGATGTCTCAATAGTTGACTTCAAATTATATCACCGAATCAAAATGCTAAAAGAAAACACAATTACCGGTAAATGAAGAGGAAACAGGTCGCTCAGGATTAAAGTCAAACAGATTTTTTTGTGTCAGACCAATTTATTCTGTCATGGTTTGGCAGGCGACTGGAGTAACCGCAGATGGAATGTTTGACTAAACAAAGATTACCTTATTTTGTTCTCTGTCATCCTGTTTGCGTTTGGGCCCCAGGCCCACAACTCCCCTCGTTGTCCTCCACCTACTTCCTCCTCTTCTTCCTCTCCTCTTCCACAATTTGGCACTGAGCTCCAAATGGTCAGTTCACACTTCGCCTTTCCCACTCAATAACACGAATGCAGCTCACTGGGTCTTTGACTGTGTTACCAGTGGACTGCTCTTTTTTCCTCTCACTGGTGGACGCCTTTTTTCTGCTATGGCCAAAACCAGCAATGACGGGTCTGTTTCGAGGCCAGCCCCTCTCCTTTTTGCTCTCTCTATCTCTCTCTCTCACAACGCTGCACAAAATCTCCTCTTCTGCCTTGAATGGAAAACACAAACAGAAAATGTGATTGCACGAGATCAAAATCCTCATCGAATCATTCTTAACACAAACGGAAAGATATCACAGGACTAACAGAAAAAAACAGAGCGTGCTGAGCCTCTCTAAACTGCCTTCTAACACAGATAAGTGTACAGTATTCTGACACAGCACAGGGAGCAAAATGAGGAATGATTGTCCTTAATCGGAAAGTATTTTTCTTGCCATGTGGATCTTGGAGTGTATTTTATCTAGTTTATATACAGTAGGCCTAGAGGTGAAGATTTTAGAGGATCAATTTTGTTAGCAACTTGGCTAAACTTTATAGATTTTCTCTCTCTCTTTTGTAATCACGTTTTACCTCCATCTCCTCCCCTGACTTCCTCTTGCCTCATCTCTCTAATTAATCTGACTTAATCTCTGCCTTTACTCTGCCTCTATTTTTAACACCATTAAGCTTCATTATAGCTTTACTCTTTTGGCACAGTGAACTATTTCCAAACAAGGATTAGGTATGATATGTTCATTATTTCTTTGTCACACATCATGACATTTTTTTTTTGCATTTTTTGTTTGTATTCCTAACTCTGTTGTTTTTATTGCCGGATCCCAGCCACATTCTGCACATGCTTTTCCCTGAGCCTCTTTCTCTGCACCTTTCTTTCAGCCCGGCTCCATTCACACATTCGCAGAGAGAAGTTACCCTGCCAAAACAAAACAGAAAGGGCTGGCTCACCCCTCGACAACCTCTATCTACAAGATCCACGCTACACTTTATTTTGCGTAGTCTGATAACCGAGCGCACAATTTTATTTTCTTCCAGTACAGTGAGGAGAAGAGGATCCTTACCTCCGCGGGTGCATCCCACAGGCTGGATCAAGCTGTCTACTTTCCTCTCCCTTCAACCGGGCGTGCATCAGCAGTAACCAAGCGAGAGCAAGCTGAGGGAGCCAGTCGTTGCACAAACACGAGCATTGTCTCAGTGGCTAAAGTCCCTCCCTCTCGTGGCGATTTGGTGTGAGACACACTCTCTCAGCAACTGCGTGAACACGACTGAGATATGGACACTCATGTACCGGTTGACTAACGCACACAACTGAATTCCATCTCAACAATTCACTTTCAATAAGTTAGTTTTTAACTGACGGGCAAAGCAAAGACAAAGATGAGCTGAAGCATTGTAATTAGCACTTTTAGTCATTGGCCTCTGCATTACATAATATCCCAGTCTGCAACTCATCAGCCGTCACAAATGTCCCCACATTTACAGTCTATGTATTGCCAAGATAAAAGCAATGCCAATGAGGATTACCATGTTGACTGTTACAGAAATAGGAGAGGAAAAACATTAAAAATTGCACTTGCAATAAATAAATAAATATTGAAAAAAAAAAACAGGCGGTTACATAAGGACCCAAAAAAAGCATGTGCTGACTACAGCAATCAATCGTTGCCCTCAAATAAATTTTTTCCCCACTGATCTATTGATTCCTGGTGAAAAAGAGATGCTTCTCTAAGTTTTTATTGAATTACAACTTCCATGGCGTTTTTGTTAAAGATGATGTGCTTGTATTTCTATCTTCTCCCCTGACCGATGTACTGTATACTTTGAGCACCATTCCCTGGATTGTCATGTTTTCTCTTTGCTTTTGTTTTCAAGCGTCATTAATTTAGGAAAGATGATCCCAAAGGATCCAAAGACAAGAAATGTGGCTGCAAGAATGACTCTGATGACCACAATTACTGCTGTTGTGCCGAGCTGCTTTGGCCCTTCAGGGCTATCAAGCAGTGTGCGGGTTTTCCAATTTAAACTTATTTTCCATCCATCCATCCATCCATCCATTTTCTAACCCGTTTATCCTCATGAGGGTCGCATGCGTTCTGGAGGCTATCCCATCTGTCTTCCGGCAGTAGGCAGGTTACACGCTGAACTGGTTGCCAGCCAAGTGCACACAGATGAACAACCATTCGCTCTCACACTCACACAGAAGCACAATTTAGAGGATTCCATTAACCTGCCAAGCATGTTTTTGGAATGTGGGAGGAAACCCAAGTACAGCCAGAGAAATCCCATGCAGGCACAGGGAGAACATGAAAAATCCACACAGGAAGGCCGGAGCCGGAATCAAACCCTGCACCTCTGCACTGTGAGGAGAACGTGCAAACCAGTCACCCACCGTACCACCACCTGTTTTCCTGAATATGAAAAAAAAAAACCCTCTTCCTACCAGACTTTAAATAAGTAAGGTGTAACATAATATTGTTTGGTCAGTTGCTCCATGGTAATAATTAGGGTAACATTCATAATCTTCGATACAAAGACTTCGAGCATCATGTGAATTTTTTTCTTCTATCATGGCATCGAATTGCCAAACAGCAAAAATTAATAATTTGGTGGATTAACCAAGGAAATCTCCCCAAGTAAGACAAGGTCCATTACAAGACACATTGGATATAAAGTTGATGCACCCCTTTTCAAATGACCCCCCCACCCCACAAAAAAAAATGTGACCACGATGAATACTTTCAACTTTTTCTCTTGTTGTTTCCTACAACTTGTAAAATTCAATAATGTGGTTGCACAAGTGTTCCCATCTTCAACGATTGGGATGTGGTTGTGTTCATAATAAACCATTCACATTCAAAAAGTCCCTCTGGTGAACCCCAAAGAAATTCCAACTTTCTTTTCCTTCTTCCTTCTACCTTGTCAAAGTACCTGTTTTAGCTGAAGAAAAACAGCCCCAAGGCAGGATACTGCCACCTCCATGCTTCAATCTGGGTATGAGGTGCTTTTAGTGATGAACAATGTTGTGTTTGTGCTAAACATACTTTTTGGAAATAAGGCCAAAACCTTCAACCTTTTCCACGTGTTAATAAGTTTTTTTTTTTCACGATTAAATGAAGAAGGTGTGCAAACTCATGCAGCCACATTATTCCAGTTTTTATGTTGGTTTTTTTTTTCATTCCATTCCAGGGGGAAAAAAGTGTGCATTTGAGCACCGGTGTGTAGACTTTTTATACCCACAGCATGCCAAGGTGTTTTGAGGCTATTTTATGACTTTGTTACTCTTGCTTGAATTTGTGCATTTGTCCTTTAATGTAAAATTCAGTGTGACCATTGTATGCACGTTTAAAGACAATACTTAAAGGCAGTACTCAGTCCTGATATTTTTTTAAATAGCAAAGTATATCTTGCGTGTTAAGTTTAAATGGCATGATAGCAGTATTGTGAGTCTTCCTCTTTTGAAATGTCATCGGCCTACTGTGCAATGTACATGGTCTTCGAGCTAAAGTTTTCTGAATATGAATGCTTATTACCTGAGACATCACGTTTATATGACATTACAAATTAATGACTACTTACAATTGTCTCTACTTTGCTCTAGAATTATTTGCTAATGCCTCTTGACCAGGGGTCACAGACCTTTTTGAAACAGAGAGGTACTTTGGGATACTTCATCAATATAAAGGGCTTCTTCTACAGTTTGATACTCAATTTTGTAATAACATATTTGTTGAAATTATCATCAATAATGTTGTAAATAAATGTTGTTAGACCTAATTAATGATATTCATTGAAGGTGCTGATTTTAATCCCAATAGCTTCACACTTGGCTATGTACAGTTCCATTGAGAGTTGACGGTTGCAGCTTGATAAAACTACCCCGCCCTCTTCACGCCCCTGCCACAGAAAACCAAATTGGACACTTGCACTGATGTAGACCAGCATTCAAGCACATAAGATGACTAGGAAGTAGGACTACTCAAACAGTGCTGCACCTCTAAAGCTCGGGAAGTGGGGTCGGTGCCTTGCTCAAGAGCACCTTGACAGTAGCCAGGAAGCAGACTTACATCTCTCCACGGATGAGCTACTCCTGCACAATCCTGTATGCCGTAATAAAGTTCAGACGAATAAATGATATTTATGAAACAAAGGTTGTTGTAGTTGTTTAAGTCTGTTTGCCAAGCTTTATTGAGCCAAAGCACCAGTTTTACATGAGAAAATCTCAAAACAATACTTAAATAATATTGGTATTGTTTATGTATTTTTTTGTAATTGAATCATAAACTGGGGCGGCACATTGGACAACTGGTTAGCACGTCCGCCTCACAGTACAGATGTGCAAGGTTCGATTCCAGCTTCGGCCTTCCTCCCCGAAGACAGCTGGGTTAGTCTCCAGCATGCCCGTGACCCATCTGAGGATAAGTGGAGTAGAAAACGGATGGGTGGATAGATGAATCACAAAATGGCTTGCTCGGTGTGAAACTTGTCTAATTGAACACAAAGCTGACAGACAAGTAGGGAGCCTTGATTTTATTCTGTTGTATGAATGACAACAGATGGATACACAGGTTTATTGTGTCTTCTGCACACTTAATGAAAGAGCGCTAAGTGATTATCACTGTACATTACAGGTATAGACAGATTATATAATCTCTCTCTCTCTCTCTCTCTCTCTCTCTCTCTCTCTCTATATATATATATATATATATAT